CTAAAATCGTTTTGTACGGTTCGATCCAAAAACGGAAGAAGTTAAAATTATTTTAACTTTGTCCGACGTCGGAAAAAAGTTGAAAATATTTAGATAAAAAGCGGCGGGAAATTTTTCAATAAATAGGAGCTCCGTCATACCATCGGACGGTCGTATAACGGAGGCATGACACTCTGGCCTATCACGTGTATGGTAGTTATACATGGTTTCTTTTTTTTTTGAGGAAAATATATGAGAAATGGTCTCATATTAAACATGTTAATATGAGATATGAGAAACAGTTAAAATATATGAGTCTCATATTAAAAATAGGAGGGCCAACCCTAGTTGTAGTATGTGCCTGCCCTACAGTGAGACATCATTCACCTTACACTGAGACAAAAAGGCAATACATTTTTATTTTGAAAAATATTTATTAGAACATACATTTATTATTCTTCGGCTGGTTAAATATACCAACAACATTATATTAACAAACTAGGACGAATTTAAAAAATACTTATTTATCGAATATCTATACCAAACTATAAAATCGATTTCGAAGGAAAATGAGGCTTTCTGACGACTGGTGTGTCCGCATAGAATTGGCGGTGGCATAATTGTTATAATATCAGATATTGAACCCACGGACTCATCAGGAACATCGGGAAATACAAATTTGTTTCTTCCCTTCTTCCTCAGGTACGGGATATCAAAACTTTGGACCAACTAATTTTTTTTCAAAATTTGCCCTACGTAATAAATCTTGTTCTTCTCCGATTCTCCTGTAAACTCGACAAGCACAAAATCATTTATTTTTGGGCTCCTGTTTAAAGCTCTCTAATTCATCTGGATGGATTGTAACAATCACTCATCTCTTGATGATGAATCTAATATTGGGTCTTCGTCTGAGAGTTCAGAATCATCATCAAACACCTGTTTCTTTACTTTCCTAATTTTTAATAATTGCGCTTTATCTTCCTTCCTGGTGTTTTTTGCTCTCGTTATGCTTCTTTCTTCTATTGCATTCTTTTCTGGCGTATCGGTGGCTATTATACTTTTTCCACGTCTGCGAGTGTTTTTAGATTTGCGGGCACCTGCTTTGGAAAACTTTTAAGTTCTGCTGGACCTATGAAAACTTTAGGTAATTTATTTTCAGTTTCTTGAATTCTGTCTTCTTGTTTTTCTGGAGCATCTTTTTGTAAAATGGCGACACTTTCAGGAAGGCTATCATTATTAGAATCTTCGCTACGGACATCAGCTTCATTTTGATGAGGAATTATGTGTGTTGATGACGACGGCTTGGGGCAAGAAATGTTAGCTTCATTATTCTCATTCCATCTGGCAAAGCGCGATTGGTAACATCACTCGGAAGAAAGTCAATATCAGTGGACACGTTTGAGTGAAACGGGTAAATACCACACTTTTTAAATGCGTTTATAACATTACTTGGGGTTAGGGGGTTTCCATGCGCAAATCCAACACATTCAGCCACTTCGTATATGGATAAAGGTTGCCTGGATGCTGCATCATCCAATTATCTATAGCTGCATAATATGCTGTTGAAAATGGTTTGAAACAACCTACGTCAAGTGGTTGCATTTTATTAGTTGAGTGTGGCGGAAAGGTCAAAATTGTTACTCCATTATCTTTTGCCTCATTTCGTGGTTATCATAAATCAAAAGACTTGGATTTTCTTTGGGACTGTTGGAGTATTTAATGAAGTGTCTGCAAAAACAAATTTGCATTCATCAATCCACTAGGTGCAGCTAACTCTTATGTCCCTGGTGGAGCTCCTCGAATCATATGTTCCTTGAAGTGTTCTTGGAAAAACCATAGCTGGAGGATGCCCTGTAGCATTTATTATGTAGCAGGTTGTCACTAGGGTACCTCGCTCTCTACTTGTTACCTTGTTGACCTGTTTAACACCCTCAAGAGCAATTATTACTTTTTGTGGCTTCTGAACAGTTACCGTTGCAGTCTCATCGAGATTATATATTCGACGACCATCAGCAAAATTGGAAGTTCTTGAGTAGATGGCCTTCAAATTCTCGTAAAATACTGACACATTATGCTTATTGAAGGACGTTGCACGAGATAAACTGCATCCCTCTGCAGTTCGTAGTGAAAGTCGCTTATGTCGACTTCGAAAACCTCGAAACCATTTCATCCCTGCCATTTAAGTATTATGCCATTTAACAGGAATTTTCTTCTTGTTTCCTACGGCCATCTCATATGCAAGTTTTCTGCAATCAGTAATCGCCAATCCGTAAAACATTCGTGAGCAGTCCACTATGTAACTTTTAAGAGATGCTTCTTCTTCGTCACTGAATATTTTATTGACACTGTAGTTAGCTGCTCAACTTTTCTGACATATCTAGCCAGCGTCTGGAAAGGGATATTTTTAAAAGCCGCCACTTTTCTCAAACTTCCACAATATGACCAACAGTGAGACACTGTCTTACTGTTGGGCAATGCTCGCCGTCTCACTCTTGGGCACATGTACTCGAACGCCACTTTGTGGAATAGTTTGATGAAAAAAACACTTTGAAGCAAAAAATAGGACACACATGTAATCTACATACTTTAAACTCACCTTTGCGTAAATTTGTTCACCAGAAAAAATCATGTTGTAAGATTTAAACACTAACTGAAACACATCGGCTATTTCACTTTAGGACGTAAACTACACACGCGTTTCAAGAGAACATGCGTCTTCACCCGCTGCGCTACGAGTGTTGGCGGGATCTAAGTACCAACTAGCTAGATGTGATTTGAGGCGTTTTTAAAGAATTGACATATGGAACAGGTGGAGGAAATGCAATGTCTCACTGTTGGACCTGTCTCTCTGATGGGCACTCTCCCCTACTCATTAGGTACGATTATCAAATATTACATTTGTTTTTCCAGTAGAAATACAAATTATACAAGTTCTGGTTATAAAAACCGAGATCGTAGCGGTTGCCACCTTTATGGCGGAAGCGGTAAAAAATACAGGTTTATTGTGGAAAAGTTCAGGTATGGAACATTCCGAATAATTCAGGAGATATTCGTGCAAAAACTAAATTTGGCAAAATCGTTATTGTTTTACCTTGAATTCATCTGGAAAATTATTTGAAAATTTCACTTTTTCTGGTGATCCTGTTCTTCTTGTCCCATGCGAAGATAATAACCGCCAAAGACTAAAAAAGAAATATTTCCTGAAATTCAAATGTGCAAGACGCAGATTAATGGCAAAGTAGCATGTTAATATTGGAAATTGTAGCATTTTTATCTTCCGCTAATTTAAATTCATATAAAATGCTTTTGGAACAAATAGTAAAACAATCAATTTTAGTTTTAAGAATGTTTATTAATTATAATTAAATAAATTATTAAATAAACAATCTGTTTGTGTCTTTGTAACTGTAAATTCTGGTTGGGAAATCTCCGGCATCAACTTCTGTTTTCTTTTGGGTATCTACAAGAACCTAAAAAGAGAAAAACAAAAAAAAAAAAAAGGAGATAAATCAATAATTACTTTTGTGATACGAAACCACATATATTTTGTGAGCTCAGTAGATCCCGTTTCCAGATTTATGGTTCTCGAGCGATTTTATGAGTTATTTGGGATGATTACTTCGCGTAAGTTGCACGTGCCTCGTGGTAAGAATTTAACATCTCCTTATGTTTTTTTATCCTTATAGATCCATTTTGATTATCCATCAGTTTTGCTTCCAATTGGCATTAAATTGCTGCTGATGTTCGCATTGAAATTTTCACTTCCTAATTTATTGGAGGGTCCAAATCAAAGTCCAAATTCAGATCCAAGTCTAAGTTCAGAGTCAAGCCCAAGGGGGAAATGTCTCCAAATTTTTTATGATTGCTCCGAGTTGTAGTTCTGGTCCACTTTGCGCCCAATTGATCTCTACGTCTTACCCGAATATATCCAGCTTCGAATTCGTCCAGAGCCCAATAAGCCAGATTTGGGACCCTATGTATATACAGACAATCTAACAGGTTTGCTAGAGATTAAGGCAGCTCAGTGAAAAACCAGACATAAAGAAATATGCTTCAAACTTCAAACATTTCCTTATATTTTTTAGTTTTTGAAATATTGATTTATTTTTCTATATTTAGGTATAATGTGAATGGCCGATTTGGTGCTTTTTTTAGTTTATATTTATTGCGTATATTCTTCAGGTACTTTTGAGTAAGACCCCAAAACCACCGAAGATTCATGAATTTTCCCCAGGTTTTCCGTGATATAATTATTTAAAGTAATACCATTTGACCAAATAGTGCTATATATTTAACAATCATATTTGATATTAAAATTTATGTTTAACTTAAATTTTCATAACTTTAATTACAATCTCATAACTTTAATTACAATTTCCATAACTTTAATTATTACAAAATACTATATTATTATACCGGTGTAATTGTACAGTGTACAGTGTGTTTTTTTCTGTCGTCCAGAAAAATAAAGTTTAATTTTTGTGGAGTACTGAGTATTTGTTTAGAAAATCTTTCTTATTTTCAGGTCACAGTTTCAGGTACTTTTCAAATTAAGTTTTTCTAATTTTTTTCTTAATTGACATTTCAACATCATTTAAACTGTAATAATTATGTAAATAATCCTTCACTTTTAAAAAATTAGTGGCGTCCAAATGGCAAGGTCAAAATCAAGCAAATATCTGAACCCATTTCCCAGTGCCACTGATGGAAAGCTGCCGTGCTTATATGTTTAGCGGTTGTTTTCCGGAATCAGAAAGAATCAAAAATATAATTGCTACAAAATGTTTCTAAGTTCGGAGCAGCATTTGGTTGAGTACCTACCTATTGAGCTAATTTGCATCAATTCAACCGCACCTGTTTGTATATCTTTTATCGTTACAGAGAGCCTAATATTCGCCTTCGAATAGCGGACACTTCATATATTTACAAAAGAATGACATTTTAGATAAATCTTTATTGCAAAGTTTTAATAACATCGGCTCATAATAAGTTTTAGGTATACCCAACTTATTTTTTTTTAGCCCTTAACGACTCGTTTAACCTTTCAAAAAAAGAAAAATGCGCCCTCTCCTAACCTCAGTGTGAAACCGTCATCAGGACCTCGGAAATACCAAATAACGAGGTCGACAATATCTTCGACCACCTCCAGCGAAACACCAGGAGGTGGTCCTCAGGTCACACCGCAAAACCAAAGTAAAATGCAAGCAGAACAGGGTACCATCGGGGATCTGCAGAAGTACCACAACCGATATTTGAGGAATAGGCGTCATACTCTGGCTAATGTTCGGTAAGATATTCTTTATAGGTACCTTTGATATAAAATGGTGTCCATCTAAACTTGAATGCAAACTGTTTTCAATTTAAAAACCTTGAATCAATAAATAATTCAACCCTGTGAATTTTAATACACACAATTTATAATTTATTCCATCAGAAATCTTAAAAATTTTGATTCATCGGTTTTAGTAATAGAGGCGTACAAATTCAAAGCTACATTAACTAACTAATTTTAGTAAGTATTGAATTCACATCACGAAAATAACCAATTATACTTCCAATTATGTTAACCGTGGCGTGTCTATCTCAAACTTCTATAATCGTATTCATTACTGGACATGGTATAGATGGAATAAATTTGTTAGCCAGGCAATTTGACCAGAAAATTGAGGAGACGCATTACTGGTGAAACAGCTAATTGGTACAGTGAACGGCAAATAAAATTTTAACTCAACCCCTCCACTAGGCTGCCTATTTTAACAGGCCTTATAAATGACGTAGAGTCACACAGACATCACCCTAAAAGAATTAATTTTTTATTTATTTTTGTAGTAGAGTGCACACACCCTTGTTTTACTAAACCATGGAATCACTTTCCCATGCCCATATTTGCGTAATCGATTTGGGAAATGTCTTTGTTTAGTCTACTGAAGTAATTTTTAATGATAGTTGTGAAAGAGATGAGTGTCATCACCTCGGTCATCAAATATATTTTCTGAATTTGTATTTGGCTTCTATCTAATAATAATTACCCTATGGTAGTCAAATACATTGTTTAGGGTTTGAACGGGTGAAACAAACTCTGCCTATACTATATTTCCTTTTTTTTTAGGAGGTATATTATGTGAATATAGCAGAGGCATAAACCAGGTATTTTTATAGTTGTTTTCCTAACAAGTGCGCAAAGTGTTACTTTTTCGCACGCAAACACAGTTATACGAATGACGCGCATGTTTTAGGAACAAAATTTTTCCTACGAGCTAGATATTAGGTAGGTAACAACAAAAATTTAAAACGAAAACGATAATATGTTCAATTATTTTAAATTAACTTGAAGCGAACCTATTTATTCATTCATCAAAAAAATACATAAAAAAAAATATAACAGAAAATTCTCGTCAGAGCTGTTGTTCATCTTGAAGCGTTTAAATTTGATGAGGAAGAAGTTTGTAGATCTTGCATATAAATGGAGAACAAATCTGATAATGTGACAAAGTTAATTATAGTCGGTGCTTGTATAGATGTTGGCTGATATAGAAACAGAGGAAAAATTTGTCATCATGTGTCAAAGTCGACAGGTGCACTTATTATTGCTTGACAATTTATTTTTACTGTTCGGCACTCAGTGCGGATACAGACCTTATCCGCACGGAGTGCCGAAAAGAGTATCTTTGAGCACGGAAAAGCGTGCGGAAAAGTACGATGCGGAAACAGATATTGATGTTTAATTTCCAGGGAAATTTAAACGGTTTCCAAATCCGCTATGCCACTATACATGAAATGATAAAAATAATTTCGAATTCACCTGATAATTTTTGTTAGAAAATGCTCCGCAGTTGTTTCGAGGCTGACAGCAGCGCAGGGGAAAATATTATCATTGCCTGTAAATTTCGTTTCCGTGATAAGAAATAAGGGGCGCTCCATTTAGCGCCGAGCAACATAGGGGCTGAAAGACAAACATACCTAGTGATTGTTTAGCGTTATGTATTTTGTACAGATTAGAGTCTCAAAATGGTAATTATATTTAGGCAGCGCATTTACTCGTTTGTAGTAACGGGACCTGAAATCCGTGTTACCGCTTAAATGATAAAGAATTATAAGTTTTAAAATTAAGAGCAACATTAATTAAATGCTTATGAAAAAAGTACTTTCCACACCTAAGCGTCTCTATTCTCAACTTGAACAAAAGGCATATATGAAAAAGACCCAAAACAAAATGTAAGCCCTTTACAAAGACCTAAGTTATCCACATTTGGCTCATCTCAAGTGGCTAATGTCCAATGACGATATTACTTCCGACCATTTTCCTAAAGCAACCGAGATAACTGAAAATAAACTTGTTGGTTTAGATACAAGAGCATAAATCGCTTTGTTTACACAACGAGCGTTAAATTGGCTCGTAATTTTGCGGACGTAAATAAGATACGTGTGTATTCGCGGTTTAACTAAATATTAGTTTTGAAATTGAAAATAAATGAAAATTAAATCTGTCCCAATCGAAAACATAGTTTCATTGGAAAATTAATTAATCGAAATATTGCAATTCTAAATATAGACTTTCGAAAAGTGATTAGTGCTGGATACCAAACCTCAAAAGATAAAATGGTCGAATATTGGTTTGGTGTTTTTTTTGAAGGTGGTAGGTATTTTTTCCGGACTTCCGCATCACCTTTAGGGAACTCTGGAATTGTTGAAATGTTGTCAATACAATTCCTACTTTCAGGAGAAAGAACAATTTTTCTTCCAAAAAGCTAGGCTACCAATTGGCTCACAACTGTTGCCTATGCCCACATAACAGTGAAAGAACATTCATATTCTCAGAATATTCCCTGAAAGTACTTTTTGGAATGTTCTTTTAGGAATGTTCAATGAATATTCTAAGATTGTTTCGATTGAAATATTCATTTTAGAACGTTCTATTTATGTACTAGGAATGTTGCTTCTATGCACCTACCTGAAAGATTTGCTAAGAACCTACTTTATATAACATTATTTGAATATTCTCATACGAACATTATTATAATGTACCCTAAAAAATGTTCTTTTAGTTAATATCTCTAGCAAGTATTAAGAATATACCTACCAAGTTGTGCTGAGAAGTTTATGTAGGTAGGTAACCATGATAAGAATATTTTCATATTGTTCACCTAATTATCTAAAGTACCTACTCAAAAACCTTAATTGTACAGTTAAACAATAATGCTCTATTTAGAACCTACTAAGAATATTATAGGTATATTCTTTTTCGTTTGCTTTGTATGACTTCCAAGAGAGGGAGCGACGCGCTATTAATGATCTACATCTTGCCTCGCATTTGAATCACCTTGGAACCTGTTTCTCTCAGTTGGCGTGCTTCGACGAGAGCATAACAAGCTCGAAACCGGAGCTTTGGTTAAATACTCGTGTTTTCTAGAGAAGTTTTCAAAGAACTCTTTCACTGCCTTTAATATAAAAGGGCTGAAACGAGCATTATTTGGAAGCGAAAATAAACATTCTAAGTATATCCTTAGAATCAAACAAGAATGTTATGTCTAGGATGCATATTGAGAATGATATATGTAGATATATTCTAAGAATATTTCAAGCATATTGGTATAATATTCTTTTAAGAACATAACTATAATTTCATAGAAATATTCTTTGAATGTGAGAATATAGGTACGTTTCGAGCATATTTTTAGAATCAAACAGGAATATTCTTTTAAGGACGTACTGAGAATCTCATAGGCATATTCTAGGAATATCCTAATGGATTTCCCAGGAAGTTCTTGGGTATTGCAAACAGTATTTCTACAATCTTTTCTCAGGACATTCGCAATGGTCTTGGCGAACATTCTAGGCACATTCCTCCTAAAAAAAGAACATTCCTAATACATTCTAAGGATGCAATTTTGTTATGTGGGTAGTAGTTTATTAAAGGTGTTCAATAATTGTTGCTCAGATCGCCTATGGGTAGGGCTGCCATTTATGAAATTTGTTACCTAGGACAATTTTTACAAAAACCCCGGATTCTAATCCCTCAAACCCGGACACCACTAAAGAGTAGCCCACCTTAGGCGCCGCCGGAGGCAGAAGATTTTTTTGGGTGCCACGCCCAAAAAAGTTTATTTCAAGCCTTCGAGAACCACTTATTATTTTGACAAAAAAAATCATTTTCTTGGGGTTTTTTATAGCTTTCACCGAGCTTCAAACATGACTAACGACACGTGAACGTGAAACTTGAGTCGCGCACACGCGGGCTAAATAAAACTGACGATGTCGATTGACGATTTCCATGATTCTTGTCAATTTCGCGGAGTTATTCGTTATTTTTTTCAAGATGCCGTAAAGCGTAAAACACAGATTACTTCAAAAGTTCAAAAAATCCCCCCGGACGCCTTTAATAAAACTAGGACAAATCCGGGGAAATCCGGACGGATGGCGGCCCTACCTATGGGTGATAATTGTCAAAAAAATAACGTATGTCTTGGCTAACTTTGCAAAATGTATTGATGATAGAGTTCTGGGGAGAGGTTCGAAAATCCGCAGGTTCCACTGAGATAACGCTTGTTGAGTAAATTTTTGTTCTCCCGTACACACTAGGCGACTTTCACGTGCCGGGAATATCGCAAAATATGATATTTTTTGACGAAAATACATGAATGTAACCAAGAATGAAAAATATTTTGCAATATTTGAGTCAGATGATTAAATAAATTAATAAATAAAAGTAGCAAAAAGAACAAAAAGTCGCGTGACTGAAAACGCACTCTCATTGGCTGAATTCGTTGTTCATGCGTTTTGTTAGTACATTCGAAGTTCAAAATTTCATTCAACCGACGGTGAGCATGGATGCGACGTTTTTTCCTATTACTTCGCTGCTTCAAAACTCACGAGAGACGAGAGAAAAGCTCTTCCGTCTCGTATCGAGGGTCTCTCGTCGATACGATATACTCATTTTCTCTTGAACTTTCGAGACAACACGAGAGAGAGCGTATTCATGTCTCGTCTCGTCTCGCGGTATCACTACAGAAAATTCAAAAAGGCAACATACATGGAAGGAACAAGATCTACCGTAAACCATCGGTTGAAATTGCAAAAATGTGGAAACCAATGCTAAACAACATTAGGTACGTGTCTTAACGTACCTAAACATTTCTTGAAATATGTAGTTTGTTATTCATTTCAATATTATAATAGCTCATTAACTTCAGGGATATCCAGAAAATGAGGCAAAAAACAATGGCTTCTGAGAAATGCATGTATCTACGAAATTTTGTCATTTGCTTGATAACCACTACAGATAAAACAGTCAGAATTCTGTGACAATCACCTAAAGCTAATGGAAGTTCAAAGCTTTTTTTTTTTAATTTCAATTGAATATGTTCCCTTACAGCCTCGTCAGGTAATTTTCATTATCTTTAAAAAGGTTTGTTTCTTTAATCGTTAATTTTTAACCTCGAGATATTTTCCTTGTTTGGGATCTTCCCAAATACAGGGTGTTTCATTAAAAAAGAGACATATTTTGAATGCAGATAGGGGTGACCGAGAGGGTTCCAAAAAAACCTATATTTGATGGGTCTATCGCCCTTTATACCAGAAATACAGTGTGATTTATGGATTTTGATAATTTTTTTATTCTCCTTTAACTTCTGAACGGCCCCATATTTTTCTATCAGATTTGGTATACTTATCAATGGTAACCTACCTAATATCTACGTTTAATAAGTTTGGAAAAAATCCATGTCCGTCTTTGTCAACATCTTCCAGATTCTGTCTACCCGGAAAAACCACCCTTTATATTTAATTTTTTTATTTGATTTAGCACGAAACATGGTACTCCAAAATGTAGTGTTCGTTTTTCCGCAGGAATTGTTCATAAAAAAGGTTTAGGTGTGACTTGATGATTTTCAACCTGCTGGGACTCTTAGGAGCGCGAAATAAATCAAAAAGAACTAATATTTGCAGTTTTTCTACAGAAGTGAAAATACTATCAAATTTATGTAGGATGTCTAATTCAATTCTATTCTTCTTATTTGCCAGAAACCAAAAGAAAGTGAAAAGATGCAGGGTCGTAATAAGGAAATATTATAAACTGAAAAATTATACTTCCAATCAATATTCTAATTAGGACATGATCTAAATACGAGCCTTGATTTTTTTAACAATAAGCAACAAAAAACAAGCAATATTTGTATTTTTTTAAAAGTTAAAACTTCTTTAGACGCTTTCAGCACAAACCATACTCCAAGAAACGGGGATCTGAAAAGAGGGATTACCTCAACAGAATTAGAAGTTAACATTTTTTGGGGGGGATCGGTCCATTTGAATATGCTGAATAACATATTAAGTTTGCGACCTTGTATTTCCATAGAGTTTTTAGTTAGGGGTGGTTTTTAGGGGTAATTTTCGGTTTATGGAGAACGCTGCTCAAAGGGATGGTCCAATAACAAAAAGTTTCAAATGATTGTTGTAGCTGAAGTTTTTTGCTATATAAAACTCAGCGACAGCACCCCTTTATCCTCTATAGTTTTTTTTCTGCAACGTCTTGAATAGTAGCATGTTTTTGTTGAAGGTCACTGAATCAACGTTTCGCCTGTTTGCGCGCATTTGATGCAGCAGCGGCCGAATGCATAATTCTATTTCAATTTTTCAAACACCATATTATTGCTAATGAAATGAACCCTCCAAAGTTTTTTTGTTCGAATCTTTTGCTTGAAAATTAAGCGAGCACGGACTTGCCTAATGTGCGAGGAAGTTGTAAATTGCATCGAAAACTACCCCTTTCTTGCATTCACTATGTAATTTCTAAACGGGGCCAAATATTTGGTGACAGTTTTCGACAATCGGCAACCCATTTATCCCTCTCATAATGCCCCAGCGAATTTTTTTTTTTCGTTGATTACTCAATGACTTATTGGCCTGAACACGTCGCGCATAATTTTTCAGAAACTCTAAAAAAAATTAAAATTGTCGCACAGCGCTGAAATTTGGTATGATGGCTTTATTTATTGTTGTTATGAATATACTGCAATTTTAATTGCTTCACATGACTGCTGCAACAATTAGAATTATAGTATATTCATGAGAACCTTATATGTTATTTAGCACATGAAAATGGACTGACCCGCCCCAAAAACTGTTAACTTCTAATTATGTTGAGGTAAACTTCCTTCATTGCTTGCCCTAAACAGATGAGAGACTGAAAATAATCAATCCACACATAAATATTTTTTTATAAACATTTCTTGCGGATAAATGAGCACTACATTTTGGAGTAGCATGTTTCGTGTTAATTAACAAAAGAAAATTTTAAAAATTTAAATACCTATACAGGGTGGCTTTTCGGGGTAGACAGAATATGGAAGATTTTGACAAAGACGGACCTGGATTATTTTCCAACTTTGTAAAATAAGATATTAGGTAGTTACTATTAATAAGTACTTATACCAAATCTGAGAAGAAAATACGGGGTCGTTCAGAAGTTATAGAAATGTAACAAAATCGATAAATCACCCTGTATCTCTGGTATAAAGGGCGATAGACCCATCAAATATAGGTTTTTTTGGGAACCTCTCGGTCACCCATATATTCAAAATATGTCCCTTTCCTAATGAAACACCCTATATTATTTTCCATTTATTCCATGTTTGTGACGTTTCCAAGTGAATGATTATTTTATGTTCCAAAAAGGCAGAAAGTTTAAATTTTATTCCACATCTAGGGCGTTTGTGGGTATTTGTTAAATAAAAGCGCTTTCATCTTTTACTTGACGGAAAACGTACAAATGCCACAAAGCATTTAGTAAATTCAAAGGAACAACTAACCCAAACTCAAATACACTCCTCAAAATTATGCATGTTTGATTCATAAGTGTCAGAAATTTAAAAATGATGCTTCAAAGGGAAACTAAATGCTTCACACAAAAAAAATAATTAGTTCCCTCAAAGTTAAATTCAGTTCGGTCAGTTACAAAATGATCAAAATGCCACGTATTATTGGATAGGAATTAGTGGATATCTTATAAATAAGGAGTTGCCCCCATTTTTAAGTATTTTTTGATGAACGAAATGCGTCATTCCATTAATAGCTAACAAATAAGGTCAAACTATTATCAAAAACTACGTAAGAATTTATTTATTCCATACAAGTCACATAGGAAAAGCTCGAATAACAAATTTCTTTATTTTTGTAGAACTTTATCTGCGTCTCTCCGAAACTTGTTATAGAATAAACTATTTTTCATCGTGTTACATATCAAAATGAGAATACAAAACACACCAAGTTGATGCAACATTCGATGCATTTCAATTTCTTTTTTCTGAAATGCTTACAAAAACCGGAATAATGTTCAAATTTTCAGAAATTGAGTGAGATTCTGGCGCAAGTGCTTTTATTAATTTCATGATGGATAGCCATGATTGAACTACCGAAAATTTTGCTCCTGTAAACGTTAGGCCTGAAAAGTCTCACTTGAGCAAATACTTCCTAATTTGGAATATTCCGTCGGTAATCCCCTATATTTACTTTTTTGTGTATTGCCTCCAAGTCTAAGTTATCATATTCCAGAAACTTCTTTCTCAGCAGCCAAAAAAAATTTTTTTCATAGCAAATTTTTGTTCTTCAGAAAATTGTTAATTCCTTCTTCGTTCACTTGTTATAAGCGCTGGACATAATTTATTGAATGCATTCATCTTTCTTGGTGATACGAGATTTCCAGTAAGAACCTAAATCAGAAAAGATGAACATTCGCTTGCCACTGGTAATGCTTTGGAAGTGTGTCACTCACTACTTGCGGGCTCTAACGGGACATTTAACAAATCCCTTGTGCAGGTATTCGAGATTCTTCCAGGAGAAAGACACAAGATTGCGACGATCATGAATGATCAGCCGAAGCCGTCTTCTAAATAGTACTTTGAACATAACACACTATTGTGGGAGATATACCAGCAACCGGTGCATTTGGCACCTTTGGTAAAGGTGTACATGACCAGTATCATGAGTGTCATGAGTAGAAGGTAGATTAGCAACTGAAAAACAGTTGCTCAAGATGAACATAAAGATGAGGGTACACAACGTGTGTAAACGACGGCCCTAAAATTACGACGATACGAAGAAGTTTAATCACGACGTGTACTTAATCCATTTTTGTAATAAAGTACGATTTTAGTGTTCAAGTTAGAAGTTGTAGTTCCAAATACCTAATAGAGATTATCAAAAAACGTCCGTGTTTTTCCATACAAAAATCCCACAAAAATGGGGGCTCGAACGAGATGGAAGTGATTTTGGACAATATGTGGAGAGGATACATCATATTCCTGATTGAAACAGACTTTGTTCAACGCTAAAATCACCTAAACTGAAAATACGTGTTTTGGAACTTGATTTATTTTGTGTCTTTTGTGAATTCCTTTAAAATGACCTCTCTAGGTGATATAAAAAGACTCAAAGAAAATTTACGTGTCACGTTGTTTCCTATTATAAAAAGCTTCCACAAATTTGTTTTTGGGTACGAGGGTGACAGGAGGAGCAGAAAGCGGTTACGCTGTTTACCGGATTTGATTTTGAAGTTGACTCAGAAGAAAATGATGCAAATTTAAATTTTATTGACAAAACTTTTTCTGAAGCTGAATTGGTATAAATCGCTAATATCTTAGTGATAAACTATGAAAATGTTGATAAAGACACATTGGTGAAGAAAATTTGTTGTGCTTTAATGGACATTGAATCTTTAAAGTGTGCTATAACTGAGGAAACAGTTTGCTCCGATACGGATTAAGAAGATTATGAAAATGCAAGCCACGATTTGGGGTCAAGCGCAAATAACGAAGAATCTGCTACAAGCAATGGGCAGCGCAAAAATTTGAAAAATTTTGACAGTGACAGTTAATTTAATGATATGTCATTAAATACAAACCAAGCACATTCCAATGCTCAGACTGTATTTATGAATTTTCCGCTTGATAACACTTTTCCGAATACAACTTCTAATCCTACGTTCTTACTATATCCGTCAATTTTGCAAAATAACACTATATCGTCTGTTTAGGAAACTCTCAAAAGGGCTTTTTTGCCTATTTTAGTTTGTGTAGAGCAATCTACAAAGTTCGATTCTGCATATATTTTTTATTAATGACTTTTTTTCGTTTATCATATGCGCACACGTCACTTGTTGAAAGCAGCTGCATTTTATGCTGCCTTGTCCAAAAATTTTAAAAAAAGTATATTCACGGCCGCAATAGACAACGCACGCTCTCGCTACACGACCCGTACAAATTCGTGTCGTATCGGACGGTTCGGTCAATACAACGAAACTGCCCCTATTT